AACTAGGCCTTTTCCCCAGTCAATTCTTGAGATAAATATGACCGTCAACCATGCTTAGCAGTAAAATCAAAACTGTGAGAAGGGCAGATGTGATGAAATGAAGACGTGATCACATGATCATGAAAGACAAGCAGAGCATGCCAATGCCCTATTTATTAGTCACTGGGCAACTTGATAAATAGGATAAGATTTTCCCTCTGTTAGCCGACCAACAATTTGCGCTCCTCCACCAAATCACCCTCACTTTGTTCAACCCAATTACCGACAGACACCAAGAATGAAGAAAAGGAGATAAGGACATTAAATGAACTTGGATGATTCCAAGTCGTTCATTTTCAAGCAATCTTTTCATATTTGTTTTTCTTCTCTTTCTTCCCCTTTTTTTTGTCTCATGTGTAATCCAGCTATACGTAGAATTCAAAAGCTGATAGTGAAATGGATTGACAGATTGACATCATATTTTTTTCCCCTTGCTCATATTTTAAATAAAAAATAGTCTAAAATGTGACCATGATGTCTAAACTCCTGATACAAAATGAAAATCAATTGTAAATATTACATAGAAATGCCAAATTGAGCTGAAAATGTGAAAACCAGCTTCACTGTATGTCAAAACAATATCTATGGCAATAACCTTACATAGAAATGAATCACACTAATCAAACTCTCAACCTCATCTAATCTAATAGCACAACGCTACAAAAATGGACAAGAAAGTGGTAAAGCCAGCGAGACCAAGAGATGTAGCAGAGTTTGGTGGAGGAGCAGTTGGTGGTGTGGTAGTTGGGGGTGATGGTGGTGATGAGCTAGGAGTTGTGGCGGGTGGTGGTGATGGGCTAGAAGCTGGGGTAGGTGGTGGGGTAGAAACTGGTGATGGACTAGAAGATGGAGTAGGAGTGGACGGTTGAGGAGCAGGAGAAGACTGGGGAGTTGGAGTAGAAGGTTGAGGAGCTGGTGTAGAGGGTTGAGGAGCTGGAGTAGAGGGTTGAGGAGCTGGTGTAGAAGGTTGAGGAGCTGGAGAAGGAGAAGAAGATGCAGCACTAACATTGATCATCAACTTTTGACCACTAGAGCAATGGCCAGGAAAATTGCAAAGGAAATAGTGGTCTCCTGAAGCATTAATGGTGATTCTTGCTGGGGGGGTGGTTGTCAAGGAAATGGGACTGCTTGTGGTGCAGGCATCGTAATCTGCCTTTGTCACCTTGGCAACATCATGAGCACTGGCCGCAAAATTAAAAACTGCAAATAAATGACCCAAGAAATCAATATTTGAAAGAAATCTAGCCTTATGTCGCTCCGATATATACCTCAAAAAATAGTTAACTCAAAAACTAAAACATTATGGTATTACCTAGAATGTCACCAACACTGAAGTTCTTGCTTGCAGCCCACGTTGTGTAGAAAGCAGAACCAGTAGAAGGAATGGTCCAACCTGTGGTGTCACCTACCGTATAGGTTGATTGTGCTGCTGAGCTGTGTATCAAAGCAGCCACAGCAATTGCTGCAAGGAACGCCATGTCGAGTCCTCTTGCCATTGATAATGTGTTTGCTGAAGAAGAGATCGCCCCTGTTTCTGCTCTGCCTCTTCTCTGTTTAAGTGGACTCTGTTTTTCCTTGTAATAAAAGTGATGCGATGAATATGTAAATGCGCCTCCCTGTTCTGTATTTATCGAGAGAGCCCAGGTCTTGACTTGAACATGTGAATAATCTTGGGCCATTTTATGGAGGACACGTGTGCTATTCTTGACCCTTGATCAGGCAATTCTGATTCTTCAAAGGTGGGCTTGTTGAAAGTGGGACGTGGCAGAAATTCTTGAGATTTTGCCGCGTGAGAAGCAAGAACTCACCAAACCGGGTGACTTTAGGTGCGTTGACTAGTCAACGATTTTTGTTTGCAACGTGAATTTGTAATGAAAAAGTGGAAAAAATTATATTAAAAAGACCATAATGAATTTGTGAAGGGAATATGTTTTTTGATCCAATTATTTTTTAGGGGATCCATTTATTTCATCAGAAGACAACGGTAGGAATGATTCACTCCATTTATTTTTCCTTTTGGAAATATATTTATGTATATTTTAAAAATACATTTAACTTGAAAGAATATTAAATTAATACTTTTAATACTTTTTTATAATTATGATGTGTAAGCATTAAAAATAAAAAAAATAAAAAAACATATATTAAAAATAATATTATTTAGTTAAATAATTTATTTTAAAAAAAATCAAATTTATTTTCAAAAACATTTATAGCCTGGTAAAGTTCCGTGTCGTGAAAAATTGTAAATTGACTTTAACCAATCCCTTATGGTCATGAATTTTGGAATTCTCCCTTCTCAGCATAGTTGAAAATTGTAAACTAAACCTATTTGTTCTTAGTCTACTTTCCAAAAGTTATGATGATAAAATTGAATATACACAAGAATGAGATATTTTAATATTTAAATAGAAGGTAACTATATATTTATGTTAATATTTTATTTCATAGAGTCAAGAAAATAGGTGTTTAGTAGTAAAAACATAACACCTGTAAAAAGTTTTTTTAATAGGATTTAAGAATCATCAAATAATAAAACTAGTAATTTTTTAGTAAAAGATTATAATAAATAAAAAAATAAATTCTAAATTCTAAGAACATGAATATTCTTACTTTGGAATGATAAATAATTTAAAATTTGAAAATATGAATACTTAAAAAATAAAAATAATTTTTTTTATTTAAATAGTTCAAGAGATATTTATACCTCTTGAATCTTGTAATTTTGCTTGAATAAAGGGGTTGAAGATTCATTTTTTCTTAATAGTATTAATAAAAAAAATATTCATTTTACAATATCAAAGATAATATTTCTTATATAATATTAATGACAATGAAAATATAATAGATTCACATAAGATTTTTATACACAGATATGCATAAGGATAAATATTATTGATATTATTATTTTATATTAAAAATTATAAAAATAAATAAATGAAGTCTTATGGTTCAACACATTAAATTAATAAAAAAAATTAATATTTTTTATTAGTTTTGATATGATGATGTCAAAAATAAAAAAAAATTAAAAAACAAAAAAATTTTAAAAAATTACTTTGGGTTATATATATATATATATAAGGTGTATGCTTTCTAGAGGGTAAGGCACCAATTATTTGCTTTCGTTTGTGAAAAGGAATGGTCAAGTCTATAAATATTTACATTAATACACGTTCTAAACTCTGCATTTAGACAAGTCAAAGATTGTTTTCCACACGGTGGGAGGTTGTGAAGCTTCCTTCTCTCTCTGTGGGGCCTCCTTCCTTACTTGGATCCCATCAACTTGGGACCTTCTTTATTGTTCTCCGTTGCCCAATTGAGAGCCAGTCCAATTTGCTTTCCTTTTTTAATTTCCACTTGCCTGCTGCCCAATTGCAATGTCACACGTGGACAAATAAAGCCTGTGGTCTCGTTCATTATAAAAGAAGTTTCACTTTGAAATTAAAGTTAGTTTTGAATATTATAAGCGTGGAGGAAAACGGTGACAATTAGAACAGGCTCAATACGAATATCAAACATATTTGACTCATATGGATGATTCTGTAGATATTTATCTTATTAAATATTATTAAACTCAATTCAAAATCCAATTTAAATATATATTTTGAACTTGATATTATATTAATATTTTCATCATTTAATTTTTATATATTTTATTTTATTTTATATTGAATAATAAATACTATTCAATAGAGAATATCTAAAAAGATAACTAAATCTTGATGAACATGATATTTATATCTAGATTTTTTACTTAATAAGTAATGATTTAATAAGTAATGATTAGAATATGAATACAATAGGAATTTGCTTTATAAATAGTCATTAGTATTTTTAAATATTTATGTTAGTGATGTTAACCAGTTTAAATTTTGTTTGGTATTGTGTTTTAAACTATGGTTGATCAAAATTTTAATTTTTTGGATTGTTTTGATATGTTAATGTTAAAAAAAAAATTTAAAAAATAAAAAATTATTTTAATATATTTTTAAATAATTTTTTTTAAAAAATAACTATTAATATACTCTAAAGCTTCTCCAATTAGGTATCGATGGCTGAGGTTAGTAAACTTTTGATGTCAAGAATCCTGAATTTTAAATGCCTATTCTATCAAAAAGTTTTCTTTCAAGAAATTATGAAAGCATCACGATAAGTTTACAATAAGTTTTTTTTTTTTTTGCCAGGCGGATGCATTCAATACTTTCTCTTTGTAGTTTTAATCGGAAGCTTTGGATGCCATGTTACTTGACCCAGCCACTGTGATTATAAAACAACAGTGATATTGATGAAAAGAATCGATGAGTTGATTATATTTTGTATATTGATCTTCTTCTTCTTCTTTTCAAGACTTTCTAGCTTGAACTCCTGCTCTAGTTTTTTCTCTTTCTCCTTGTTGGAGTTGACTATATGTTGTAGCAATTTCTTGTATGAAATGGATTGTGCTTAACTACTTATATGTTGTAGCATTATCTGGTGTTCTAACCTTCCGATAAGTCGATGTCATCCAAAGATCTTGCTAGCAATGGGAAATATGATTGTAAATACGGTTCACATTGATCTCAACAAGGAGAATTTGCAGGAGTTGCTGTGGACATATGGATTCAGCACGACCAGTCAAGGCAAGCCGCTCATGGTGGTGGATGGTGTTTATCAGGCGGTGGTTTATGATAGTCCTCGACAAGTTTGCTACACTTGTGGAAGAGTTGGCATAGCAGTCGTTTTTGTCCATCAAAAACTGTTACTGGCCAAGGAAATACCGATGGCGAGAAGGAGGCAGGCACATATCGGGATCAAGTTCAGAAGATGGAATCGTCACACAGCCATCGTTCTACAGATGACAGTGGTGAGTACTGTTCGTGGTTACATGTTAAGCTTAATCCACACCGTAAGCAAAGAAGAGATGCTGGTGTTACTCCTAAAAGTTTAAAACTAGCAGCTGGAGGCGAGGGTGGTTCCTGTTTTGAAGTGTTAGCAGACATGGAATCTCTGGATACATCTCTTTCTACTTCTAAATTTATCCGACATCAACAAGGCTGTGTTCTAGTCAAGCCCATTTCTCACTAAATTTATCCGACATCAACAACGCTGTGTTCTAGTCAAGCCCATTTCTCACAGGTCCACAACAAGGCCATTTCCACTAGCAAAAAGCTCAATTCGAAAGGAAAAACCTGCTTTCGGATGTCCAATCCTGTTAATATGGTGCCCACTAAAGCCTATAGATATGAATAACCCCTGCTTTACAAGTTTCGAAGACTCCATTAGCTAAAAAAATCTCCTCTAATGTTTGCCCTTATTATTAAGATACCGGACTCTGCTGAAGCACCAAGTGATAAAACGGGCAAACTCATCTTTGTCGATGTTGCTAATGATACACAAACCAAGCTTCCAGTAGCTCCAAACGACGAGGGGAGGGGCTTCATTAGTGATAAAGAGGATGGGGATAAGGAGATGATACCTAGAGTTGAATAGCCAAAACCATCAATGGAGAGTATCTTACTTCTATCATGGCGGTTAGACTCCAATCCAAAAATAATTTGGTTTTAAAATTAACTTAAATTTATTATTATTTTTCAAAAAATATTTTATTATTTTAGCTATTTAGTAATGACTCAATCAAGTTATTTATGTTTGATAAAGTCGATATTAAATTCAATTTAATTTATTCTTAGCTCACATCAAATTTTAAATCACAATCACATTTTTTATAAAAATATTAGACCGGATTTAATAACATTATTATAAACTATCAAAAACATGTAACATTATAAGAGAACTAATATAGTAAGACATCTTCTTTATCACCATAATACTAACTTCTAATATTAATCTCAAATTATGATATAAGATTCATTTTTTTTATCCAAACTCAAATCAGCTCAAACTTAATCTAAGTTAAATTAGATATATAAAGAAAAGTTACAAGAAATTTTTTTTTTAAAAAAAATTCTTATGGTTGTCGTGACCCTTTTCTCATTAAATTAAGAATTTTAATTTTTAATCTTAAGTTTTTTTATTCAAGAAAGGTGGAAGTAGCAAGTAAGTGATTTCCTCTCATATTACTTTCAATTATGATTTATTTATGAAAGGATTAAAGAAGAGATTAGGGTTTATAAAAATTTAAAATTTATGTTATTGATTCATAATTATTATGGATTTAATATTAAGTGATTTGATTTTGAGTGTGTTGTTAGAAATAAGGATTTGTGAATTAATTTGGTATGAGTTAAGAAATTAGTTTTAATTTTATTAGAAAATCTGGACAGAATGGTCTTGAGGTTAAAAATGATAAAATTTTATTTTGATCATTGATTTATGAAAATTATAGTTTTTTTCTTTAACTTTGAAAAATTATAATTTGACCCCTAAATTATATTTTAAAATTCTAGAAAGTATTATTATGAGGTTAAGTTAAGGATAATGAATCTCAATTTAATAATTGATCTAGAATATTTTTAGTTTGGTCCCTAAATTTTGAGAATTTACATTTTAGTCCTTGGATTTTAAAAACATTACAATTAATAAAGTAAACTTATGTTTTGGTCCTCGATTTTAAAAAAATTATTATTTTAGTCCCTAAAATTTGAAGACTAAACCTGATTTTCTTTTATGTATTGGAATCTTTTATTTGTGTTGTTTTGGATTGTTTTTTAGTTTTTTAGTACATTCCTTATATTTATTATAAGTTCTTCTAAGGATCCTTAATAGAATTTTTTAGTCTTTCATCTGGTATTTTTTTTCTTTTATATTTTTAAGACAAGTGAGATAATTTTTAATGTGCATTTAATATCAATAAATTCAAATCGTTGATTATATGATGAGTACATTTAATTAATTTCTTGAATATTTATATTTATTGTTTTATTTTTTGAGCAATTATATATTCTTGAATTTACACTTATATTTTATTGAAATAAATTATATTTGAGATTATATACATTACTTTGATAATTATGTTAATATCTATAATGTCTTGATATAGGACTTATCAATAACTCCATACTAGTGGATAATAGTTAGTCTATGTGTACATATTATTCTGTATATTTAATTGATAAGAGAGACATCAATCTAATTGTGACTAATCCTTCCATAAGGGTTACGTTCAAGTGTTATATAATTTTTAACATGTATATTAAATATTATTTCATCATTGAGTTGATTGAACTTATTTTTTCTTTTTAATATTATTTTATATCCTCTCATTTTTCCTTGAGAAAAATCCAAATTCTCAATCAGCCTAAATGGAGAGAGGATTATAATTCAAAATCTTGGATTTTTTTTCAAGGATTGAATTGGTAAGAAATGAACGAAACGTGAAAGCTCAACAATGTTTTAATTGTGGAGATTAAGAATTAATTAATCAACGATTAGCAACTTTCCTCGCCTCCCTTTTGCTTGGGCCAACGTATCGCCTTCTACTTGCCTAACTAGCATCTTGTCTTAATCCCATCATATTTTAATTAAAGCCGACAAAGTCCACACGGGATTAATTCATAACATGATGATGATTAAATAACCGAAATTAAATACTTCTTTTTATTAAAGAAAAGAGAATATTAAGGCTAGAAGTAATTAAGACTGCATTTAGTGGAGAAGACTTTGCTTCAAAACCTGTATATCTCCGCAGAATCCTTCTTGCTAGGAGAGTTCTCATTTTCACGCGTTTTCACAAGAGAACTTGATTTATAACACAAAATTAAATATATTAAACCTTCCATTGCTTAGCATAATCTATTATAAGAAATGGGATACATGCGATAAATACACACACACACACACACACCAATATCATCTTCACATGTTTATGTACTTCTGTAATCACACATCGAATCAAGCCTTGTGGCGAACAACAAGATATGTATTTGAAATGTTCAATCCATTGAGAATGGAAGGGAGTTGCTCAAGCTTTGCTTCAATGGAGAAAATGAAGGAAAATCTTCAAAATAATTCAGAGGTAAGTCTGGGAAGCTTCGTGTCTCTTTCATTTTTTAGGTGAGGATTAGCACCACCAGTATTAAAAAGTTGCTGCAGTAAGTCAATGCAATGCAACTTGTTGCCATACAAGGTTAGGTGAGCTTTGCTGGTTAATTATTGTAATAATATAATGGGGCGGCGTCATGTTCATAATATCAATGGCCTTCAATCCTTTACGTAGCCAGTACCATGGCAAAATACTTTAAATAATATTTGAGATATTAAAACAAACACAAACCATTGTGACCGCTCAAATTAAAAAACAAAATTCCTGTTGATCCATAAAATCGAACAGTTTTATTCAAATAGAAAATAATAAAAGCCAACCAATATATCATCAAATGAATGATCAAGTACACAGAAGCTGTATGACACAACACTAGAAAATTGCTACTACCATGGGCTAGCTAGAAGTAATACACGAAACTTATGGCAATGGACATGAACACCAAAGCAAAGGTAGCAACGAGACTTGAGGAAGCTGAGGATGGTGGAGGCGGTGGCGGCGAGGTCGAAGGAGTTGTAGGCGGTGTCCCTGGTGGTGAGGGGGTGGAGGGAGTGCCGCTGGCAGCTACGGTAATGGCTAGTTTTTGACCTCTAGTGCAGTGGTTAGAAAATGTGCAAAAATAGTACTGATTACCCGTGGCATTGAGGGTGATTGTTGCTGGTCCACTTGTCAAAACGTTGCTTTGACTTGCTACGTTGCAATTATCATAGTCACTCTCGGAGACTGTGGCCACATCGTGCACACCTGCACTGAATGTGAACTCTGCCAAAGCAATAATTTTGTCACATAAATTGAAGCAATCCAACTAGAGAAAATTAAAGTATGAATGTTCCAAGTAATTCAGTGTTTCAGAATTAAAGAAAGAAGAGGATAAATATAAAAAGAAGTGTATATGATTAGAAATATAAAATAAATTTATTTTTAAAATGAAAAAATATAACAAAATAATGTATCTTCACTGTCTCCGTTTCTTTTATCTTAAAGCAATAATCCATCTCAATTTCAGTATCGAGATTAAGAACTTGAAAATTTATACTATGTTATACTATAGTTCACATACTAATCATCTTAGAATTCTTGGATTTAATCTTAGAAGATCAAGACAGGAACTGACAAAAAGGATCACAGGTAAAGAAATTGAGTGTTGCAATATTAGCGTTCTGCATGTGCCAAACTTACTCAAAGTGTCACCAACAACGAAGTTTTTGCCTGAAGCCCAGCTAGAGTAGAAAGAGGAGTCAGAAGGGGCTTGCCAACCGGTGCTGTCTCCAACCTCATACTCTGTTGCCTTTGAGCTATGCAACAGTAGCGATGCAGCTCCTAAAACCACAAAAACAACGAGAGTACTTCCCATATTGGCTGGTGTAGCTAGTAATGTGTGTTCTCAAAAGTTAGGCCACCCCTTCTGCACTGCTTGTTTGAGAGTGAGCTTCTCTAGCTAATCTCCTCCTGTATATATAGTGGGAGCTGGGATGTTGTCTTTAGAGAAATTTGGCCCTTGGGGCAATGGACTGTTGCCATTTGGAGGGAGAAGCTTGCAAGATTGACTAGTAATTTTTCCCTTCTTTCTTTTTTATTATGGGGGTAGTTGTTGAATGGCATCGGCATCAAGAAGTAAAGAGGTGAAAATGACTCGATAACACCATGAATAAAACTCATCAAGTATCGGTATTTGTAGTCATGATTTGGGATTCATGCAGAGAAGGTTACACAGTGATTAATCTAGTGTAGTGCACTGCTAATTAATTGTGAATATTGATTAAGGTATTAGAAAAAGAATGCATTCAAGATTGTCACTAATTCTCATTATAAAAAGCTGTCACTAAATCATTCAAAATGTCATCTGAAAATTTAACAACGCTCGTGAACACCACTATACACCTAATAATGATGCTAAAAGTCAATTCTTTTGTATTCAATATGTTTTTTAATTAAAAAATCAAAGAAAACGAAGGAGTACTTTGGACCATACTCGATTTTATTATGAGCAATATGTTTCTTTAAACAGAAGATCTCAGCTATGAATATTGTCCCTAGCTCTTCAAAATGTATGACTCCATTTGGAATTAATCAACTTTAAACTATTCATGTTTCAATTATATATCATATGATCCAATTATACGAACCATGGGTTAAGTAGATCAACATAGTTAACTCAAATAAATTTAAAATGGTTGTTTTAAGATTTTTATTTAAAAAGAAACATAGTTGAAATGAAATGGTTATTTATTAAAAAAAAATTAATTTTTTAAGAGTTAAATTGGATCTTACATGGATTTTAATTATGTTAATTAGGTCACTGGTTAATTTGATGGGTCTTCTAGAATTGATTAAGTCAACTTTTAATTTGATTGGACACAAAACCCGACCGGCCGGTCCATGTCAACAAGTTATCCTCTGAAGGAGATGGCTTTTATAACAATGTTACATATCACTTACGATGTATAGACAAATGTGAACTATGGTGCTGTCTTTTTTTTTTAATGGTTTCTGGTTTTACATTTAGCTGACCAATGGCTCACGGGATACCAAGTCGCTGGCTACAATATTGAGTGTAGCGTCATTCATGTGTTAGGCTGATGAAATGCATGGAAATAAAGAAATTATAGTCGGTTCATAATATCTTCTTCTTCAAGCCAATGACCAAAAAAAAGATGAAGGTGACTACAGCCTGCAGACATGCATCCAATTGCTCAAGGATATGTATTACAAGTTGGAAAAAAAATATATGTTTATTCTTTTTTTGTATTTATATGATCACAATAGGCCTTTGTGAATTTTATTTCAGTCCTTCAAGCCAAATTCTTGTTGTTGTTGTTCTTCTTCTTCTTCAAAAATCGAACAATACTTGCGAGAGAGAAGTTTCCCCTGGCTATACAACGCGTATAAACATGGATGATTCATTTTCACATTTAATATTTTCTCTGTGGCCTTAAAGACTGGTTCAATGGTAAACATGTCCATTCTCCTCAAAAACAGTTTCGATTCAGGGTTTAGATATGACCGATTGATGTAAGTGTTTAAGGTTCTTTCAAATATTTTGAATTTTAGTATAATTTGAAGTAAATTTCTGTGTTTTTAAAACAAACATCTTTTTTTTTTTAATTTATTATCTATGTTTTTTATCCTAAAATAATAACCAAACAGCACCGAAAAGAGTTACACAGAAAAAATAGTGGTGTTATTATTTATGTAGTTGCGTAAATGAAAGGAAGTTTCACAGAAGGTGACTTCATGGATGACATGATAGAAGCCCAAAATGCTGGCACCCCACTTCCAATGAGGTCAACGTTCAAGCACGGCTGCGTTTCTCTAATTTGTTTTCACGCAGAAAACACTAATAAAGTAAGCAGAAGTTCAACAGGCATCATCAATTGAATACATTTTCTAATATTGAGTGCATATTTTCTTAGTAATTGAAGTCTATCATAGGGTAGTTAATGACTTGGTGACTGATATTGCGAAAGCCTTCACCAGATTCACTTTGATTTGGTAAGAAAATCCTTTTGGTTAGGTTCAAGTTTATTAATAAAATTAAGAAGGGAACACTCATCATCCTCTTACATGTTCTTATTTATTTCTAGATATTCTTGAACCATTCTAAGCTTCTAGCTAGCTAGCTTGGTCTGTTCTCAGTATATTAATGAGGCTTCTTGATCTTGGAACTCCAAGTGATAGACACTTGTCGCATGTGGTGCGGTGATCATCCACCATCCAAGAAAACATTAAGCAGAAATTAATAAATATACTGAAAGTTACTGCTGGCCTGCTTTTAATGCCTGAAAATTAGTTTAAATGAAATTAAAATTCGTTCGTTTTTCAAAGAACAGTAGACAGATATCTTGTTTTGTGGATTTGTGTAGCCTGTTGTCGAAGCCACACCTTTGTAGACCATAAAATTTAACCTGGTATCGCGGGGGCGCATCTGGCCTTCACTCTGCTTCAACAGCAATCGATATTTACATCCTTAGAAGGCCTTTTTAGCTGGAGAAAGATACCATGCAATAAGGACTTCAAAATTCTTTTAGCCCAGTATATGAATGGAGGAGACCAGTTAGCTTAGCCTTGAAATCTTTCAAGTGTTCTCACCCAGACACTGATGGAAGCCAATTTGTTTGGAAGATTTGATCGCTCCAATAAACTGTAGGGAGTGAACTTACTATATGTTTTCCACATCATGCTAGGCCGCAAAGCTCAAACTGCAGAAATCTGAGTCCAAGCATCGAGGAATATAACAGTGTGCTCCTCAATGAATATGTGATTCTCAAACTAAGACCCATTTACATGCATCCGAGTGCTCAGGAAAGAATTTCAGCAAGTCATTGCGATCTATTGTTAACCTACAAATGCACTCTGGACCAAGCTAAACAGTCTCCTATCAATAAACTTACTAACCAACCTGGACATTGATTCTTATTATTCCTACAAAACCATTCTTCTCAGGCGGAAAGATGGGGCGATTCAGAAGTTGTTTATGAAACCGCCATGGGAATGGAGACCGCTCCATATGGATTCAAGCTCTTCATATGCAAAAGAACTATCCAGCACGGCACACAGCATTAAGGTTTGCTATTGCTTCCCATTTCTGATTGCGTAACATGGAAGGTTTTTAACTTTAAATGCAGTAAAAATACACAGAAAATCTACCTGTCTCCATGCAGAACTTTTAATCCTTCCAATAAAGCAGCAGATTCTTAAAAGAAATTTGGCTTGAGACAGATGCTTCTAAGGAAACTAGTCCTAGTCATGATCACAAAATCTTTTTGCCTAAATACAACAGCATATGCACAAGAAAGCTATAACAGAAAAACACTAAAGGATCTATTTGAGAGAACTAATATACATTTGCTGAAATAGATAAAAAATCAGCAATTCTTGGGAAATATATTATGCAAATTACAAAATCAATGTTCGTATCTCTTGTACTCTGAGTGACATGAATGGTATCGAAACCAGTTGTATTTTTGTACTGTGTTATCTGAATGGTATCGAACCTAGAAATTTTGACTTCCAATGCTGGTTTCGCTCTAATATAATAATGACTGTTCCGACATTATTGTTTCAGAAATAGAATCAAAGTGGCGGCAGAGATTGTCAATATCAATATGTAGGACTTGGTCAAACCTTGAGATTGGACAGCCTGCATGAGCACAAGTGAAAGGGGTAGAACGAATAAGAACAGGAAAGAACCCTAATTAGAATTTCGTCATTTAGATAATAGTAGGAGTCACATGATAGAAAAACACATGCAGTCACACATAAACTACTTCATTGTTCTTTCACCTTCCTCAGTTCCCCCCTCCCCGACTTATGATGATGGGCTGTTGATAACTACTGCATACACAATTCCTCTACTGTTTTGAAAGAGACATGCAAATTCCCCGGTGATAACTTAATATGTAACCCCTGAAATTCAGCTTCCAAAAGACAGCACTTTGATGGTTGTTCAAAGAAGAAAATCCTATAGCATCATAAAATTTATTATGTCAAGGAATGATTCGAGATAACAAAGATTATGATCATATATGATAGTATAGGTACTCAAATAAACTCAACCCACTGATGTCTGTAGTTTAGTTGCTGCATAATTCTTGAAGAGAGAAGGATCAGAGACTCAGCAGAATGCGGAACACAATGTAGCGTTTCCTTGCTAGTAATGAAGAAATGGTAAAAACGAGACCAAAACGAGCAATTCCAATGATAGATACCATATATTATTAGTTTAGACTCAAATATACCAAGCAATGATGTGATTGGGACATTAGGCTCCTACAGTTGGACAAAACGTGGACACATGCCCATAATCCATCTTATCCACAATGCAAGTCCTCGTGGAACAGCGGAGGGCTCCTTTCTTCATTTCCTTTTTCTTCCACTTCAGAAGTGAAATATAGATGGTATGCAAGAGAGATTTTTATTTTCACCTAATATTTTGAGTCTTTTCTCAAAATAACCTAATTATTTTTATCAAGAATAAACAGTTTGAATCCCAATATGTTGCCTTTTGAATGACCTTGTGTGTTGGTATAAAGAGTCTCGTACCTTCAGAGATAAAAGTGACGATTCTGCAGATGAAAGTCCATGAAACCCAATATCATATGAAATGCTTCCGTCAGGCTTGAAAAGTCCAAAGTTCCTCTCAGAAGTTGGCCCAGACTTCAAATTCTCATTAAATATAGCAAAAATATAGGCCTTCACCACCATTCTTGGCCTAAGTGGAGTACCTTTCTTCTTTGCAAGCCTCTTACGCAGGTTATAATTAAATGTTCTTGCATTATTAACTGTTGCTGCAGCTTCATTAGCATCTCCAAGTGAGGCCCAACCTGTCTCGGTGACTATGACTTCCATCTTTTTGAATCCAGCGTCTTCCAGAGCAGCATAGGTTGCATCAATCTGAGCATCAAGCATGTTATCGTAGTGTAAATCTGTTTTCGTATCATATATTC